TGGTGTTAGATACCTATCATATCAAATTTTTTTACATTTATTTATTCCTGATGATCAAGTGTGTTAAGAACAGAAATAACTACATTTTCCCAAAATTGTCAACTCCGTTTCTTTGGATCTTAACCATGGATCGCACTGCGGTGCGAGCTGCTTGAAATTACAGGAGGATTACCTACATTTTGGAATAAGGAACCATAATTCCTAGCTCATTTTAGAAACAACATATATGCCATTGGTTTCCCTGTGCAGAAAGGTGCTTTTATAGAGCAGCCAGAGGTAGTGCTTCCTTATTGCAAAATTTAAAATCATTTAGACTACCTTTTGCAATTAGGAACTTCTGGCCCATCTGGAAAAACACGTGCAATGGGAAACTGGTGCATAGGTTTTTTTTCTAAAATGAGCCAGAAATTGTAGTTCCTAATTGCAAAATGTAGTCCATTTGAAGTTACAGGAACTTGTTGTGGACCACTCCTCGCGATTACGCGCCCCCTCCCCTCCAGCAATATCCCCCCCTTATGGGTTCTTAGGTCCCTCGAATGTAGTTCATTTCACTACTGTCGGGAGTCATCCATTCCAACCCGTAGTCATGCATACACACTGAAAAAAAAAAGATTGGTAGAATTTACCATTCCTTCATGCTGCATTTCACACAGCGTGAAGGAATGGTAAATTCCTCCAATCTTCAAGTCGATTCTGCCAGAGGAATGGTTACCTGTACCAATATAGTAACGTTTACCTTTCCTCTGGCAGAATTGACTCTGCATTGACTCTGTGTGAAATACAGCGTGAAAGAATGGTATATTCTACCGATCTCTTTTTTCAGTGCATTTCTCCTTTTTTTAATACCTAAAAGTTCTGTCTTTTAAGGAGGTTGCTGTATTTGCATGGAGAATATGAGCGAGGTGAATCTGAAACCGTGCGATCACAAACTCTGCATTAAGTGCACCGAAAAGACGAGTGGGAAAGGAATTAATACTCGGCCTGACGGATTTGTATGCCCAACATGTAATCGAGAGGTGATCGATTGGATTCTGATGAGCAGGTCCAGGTCTAGCAAGAATAGTAAAACGCAACAGTAAACGTTGCTACCGATAAGAGCAATAAGTGCAAAAATGTGGTCTTGAGGGAAGGCGAGGGAATGTACCTTACTAGGTGCATTTACCCACGCCATGGCTGATTGTTGGCACGTGCAAGTGGTGTACATTCTTCTTACTACGTTACTAAAATGCATCATAGAGTATACTTGGTGCCATTTGAACCAACGACTTTTATATTTTGGGTTTGAATTTTTAGAGTTTTTGTTTAATAGTTTAATCATGCAGCATTATATTTATGTAGTTTCTGGTAATTGGATTTAGGGTTTAATTTTTTGAAAACTTTACGTGAACTTCATTGGGAAATTCAAAAGAATGTAATTTTTTATGCTTTGAATGGATCTGCCTAAAAAAACATTGAAAGTCTTATTCAGGCCCTTCTGTAGTGGTATGTTCTCTTGGTTGACGATAGTGTAGAGTAAGATTGATGCAAGTTCGTAGAGTACCATGTCCATCTACATTGTATTACTGGTGCAAAGTAAAGCTCCTTCAATGGAAAAGGTATGCCATCGACATAAGTGTATTACTGACTGCATAACCGGTGTTTTGAAGGGTATCTAAATTACCCACTTACTTGCTGAGCCAGCAAAATTTTGCTATGCTCGCTAGGCCCTTTGCACATATAAATGAGAAGTTTCAAATCAAAGTTCTCAAAAGTATACGATTAGATCCTTTGATGGTCCGAAATAATAAGAACATGGGAAGGAAACAGAAGTGCCGATATTTCGAGATGTAATATCTAAGACAGTCGAAAGATATGAGTTCAGATGGAACAATAATAAAAAGGAAGGTGACATTGGCTCTCTGAATGATGCACTGCAAGTCAAAGACTCAGAAAGGTTTTTGATATCAAATAAGGCTCTAATCCATTTGTTCCGTTCCTATCATACCTTAAACACGTTTATGTAATATTCCTCTTTTACGTATGATGTTATTTTTATTTTTTGTTTGTTTTTTCTTGTTTATATTCAATGTACGAATGTATTATTTAATAATAATTTTCAACCTATGGATGCTTTGAGGTGAAATACATTTATACACTATTTTAGTTTTTCTTCTTCTTTTTTGAGCGCGCCCGGTGCGCTCTGCGAGGGCTGTTGACACAGTGGTCTTGAAGCAAACAATGCAACAAAAATGCACCCAAAAAAGGGGTTTCAGGGGGTGTATCTATGGTACGTGCAGACTAAAAATTACGAAAAATAAAAATCTTGGCTGATCTTATTTTCGAGATATCGCATCTCCTTCAGAGAGTCAAGTATGTAATGATCTAAAATCAGGACGCACAACATATTCGCAACAACAATGGGCCTGTTGCAAACTTTTGCTAGAGCAGAATGAAGAGTTGTTTCCTATAGATAATGCCTCAAAAATCACGATGAGCGCATCGGCAAAGTCTGAAATGCACTCATAACTTCACAATCTGCGTAAGAAATTTGCGTTATTTTGAGCTTCCCGCTTCAAAAACGATACTACTGCACAGGTGAACATTTTGTTAGAGGAATCGCTCCATCGTCGGCAATATTCATCATGGCCGACGCTTGCGCAGTTCCTCGCGTAATTCGAGGAGAGTTCAAGGTCAATTAAGGCGGGCGAGGAAAATATGAACGTAAACACGCC